TGTAATCACTATTATTTTCCCCATTATTTTTATTTGGACGTTTTCTGATAGGTAGCTGGAGAGAGGAGTTATTTAATGAATCCTTCTTCATCGAGTCCACACCCAACACGTGCAATAGGAATGACTCATCACTCATACCTGAAATTTTTTTGATTTATTTTATTACAGCTTGATTCCACACTGTATTTTTTTTGGTACAAGTATGGAATTTTCAGCATGGATATCGGTAGCCGAATTTCGCAGGCCGACCATTGATATTGGGTGTGCGTCGGCAGGGGATCGAACCTCTGACCATGTGCATGGTCGGCGAGAGTCCTAACCACTGTACCACCGAAATGTGGAAAATACCACTACCTATCAAGTCAAGCGGTAAAATAATGGAATTACAAAATGGAAGTTGAAAAGTTGTGTGAGTAGTAACTTGATATGAATATGAGCAGCAATAAATTGTGCTCGAAACGTCATCGGTAAACATCACTGCATAACACTGTGAGATTTTATCAAAATAAATTTTACCCATAATTGGATTATGCTGAGTAATTTATATTCTTGTTTCACTTCTATTAAGGCATTAAATAATTATTTACTGTCTATGGTTTACTGTAGCAGTTGTTAATTAATTATTGTGAACATGGTTCATTTTATGGAAGCCTTCTCACTATTCAAAAATATTGCCATACGAAGTAGACTGAAAGCCGATTAGCTGCCAATGAATTTTCTAATGCTGAGATATTTTCATATCTTCAGCTGACGTTAAGCAAGGTAAGACTTTTAAATTTTTTAACAGTTCTGCCACTGTGCAACCATGTATACATATATGTGTGTATTCTATGAAAGGTAGGAGAAATATGATTATGGTGGGGTGTTCATCATGAGATGATTAACTTTTTTTAGGGTAATGGAATTCCTAAACTTGACCACCAAAGATGTGTACTTGAAAATGACCAATATTACACATTCATTTAGATTTTTCACATTACGATAGTTTCTACAACACGATAAGAAGACGTAGTTTAACTGAAACGTGTAATGTATTTGCGCATCACATTTCGGACATTCTGATCACACACGTACTTGTCATACAGTTTTGTAGAAGGTAGGAAGGAATAAATCATCACAATAAAGGTCAGATAATGTTCAGGTCAAGATCACAAATAATGGGTGGAGAGATGTAAGAAAGGTGCGGGTAGGAAAGAATAAAAAATCAAAGAAGTGGTTCAAATGTTATGAAGTAAATTAATCCTTTATTTTAAACTGGATTACCAAGACCGGTTTAATGTGGCTCTGATAATTTTGATCGAAGGCTGAGCAATTAGTTTTGAGAGTAGTCATCCATTTTAGTGATGCAGTAGTTGGATGACGTTTCATACATGACTAAATAATGTTGAAACATAAAATTATTGTGGATACAATGGAAACAGAATTGAAATGTTACTGGATTTCATCATGAGCTGACATTGACTAGAAGACCATTGGAAAATCTGGGAGTATTGTCCACTAGACAATGTCTTATGTGATTATACGTCCTCTTTCGGACCTTCTCAACTTAGAGCTTAACGAAAAAAAAAAAAAAAAAAAAAATAGGAGATGCTAATTCTTGCTCTTTGAAACACAAATTCTGTGTCGCTTCTCCATAAATAAACGCTGTCAGGTGATTACACAGTACAACACAATACATGAGATTATTGAAGTCAGAGAAATGGTAGTGTAAATAATGAAGTGGGGGTAAATATTAATGGTCCCTGAATCGACAAATTTAAAGATAGGGATGGGGCAAACTCTAAGCGTATAAACCGTTTTCACGCATACGATCTGACTGTATACAATAAGCTTTATCATCTTGAGTTAGCTAACATGAGTGATAGTGTGAAATTACACAGGAAGGTATGTCTTCTCATACATTAACGATGCGTCTGGTTAATGTTCAAGCTATTCAGCTGGAAGCCAAAATACTGAATGTCAGATTTCTAAAATGTCAATGTGAGATTATCACAAAATGATTAGTTCGGAGAATGTACTCCTTTTGATACACGACATTACTGGATAAATTTATATAAATGACAGTTCTAGTTTGAAATGTTCTGGTTTCCAGACTTGTAAGCAGAGCACAGAGTTTGACTATTCCTTTTGGATTTACATTGAACAAGATAAAAAAGCGAACTCAATTTAAGAGAGCAATTATGAAAAATGTATCGGACACAACTGCGTGCAAAGGCATTCATGAATCTGTAGTCTGCTCCGATGCCTGAATATTTGATGCTATTATTTCGCAAATGAAATCAAATTCTCACTACTCTTTGAAAGCTGTTTTGGATCGCATATTATGAAATAATTTCATAGCGTCATTTTTAAATTTACACCATAAGGTTTACCTAAAGTATCAGTGCTCTTGACAATTATCTCAAACATTACCGATGCTACTAAACAATATGATATCTATTTAAAATAACATGCACACATTAGGAAGGTTGGGTAAGTATTGGATCTGTTAGTTTTCCCTCTAAGAAAACAACCTGATTCACAAGTACTCCGAAGCATATAGTATTCGTATATCTTTATTTGTTAAATACCGAGGGAATGCTATCTGATTGATTTTGGATATGTCTTCACACATGAAACTGTATTACACAATGTTTGTAGTTGCTATCATTTCAGTAATAAGAGACGTTTCCGCTAGGCATGTTAATGGACCTCATAATATTCCCAGTTGTTAGTAATTCTCAGATTTTTACTAGGAATCAAACAACAGCTAAGTCAACGAGACGCTTGACTTTTTCCTTTCATCTTGAAATATTTGTATGCACATATGTGTCTGAGTGTTTGAATGTTCCAGGCTAAACGTAGCCATTACATTTATTTTCTGTCTACAGAGGCATACAGTAAGTGATTTCCACATAAGACAACAACTTTTTCAGTAAAACTGTCGAATGAAAACAGTTTCCATGTCTATTCATCAGAGATTATGATACGTAAATGCTCAGTGACTGCACGGATAGTATGCTTACTAAAACCACACCAATTCAAAGACGTGATGTTTTGCAATATCACATTCATCATGGAATTCCAGATAAATCAGTGACTGCATGTCGAGGTCACTTCAGATAATCAAAATTACTGTTCATCAATATACCTCACATACAGGATTTTAATAATTTAGATATTACAAATTATTTTATATTGCTTTCAATGTTTTCCGTCTTTGACTGCAACACGATACATTTTCCAACTGTTTGATTTATTCTCAGTAATACATTACATTCTGAAGAATAAGGGACGTTGAGCAGTTAATTAAGACGAAGATCGAAGACGTTTCTAAGTCGTCACGGTATGTCGTGAATTGGCAGAAGTTAGAATTCATGGGCCATTGGATCGGGTCTCAGTGGCTTAATTGTCTACGAGCTCACCATGTAACTAACATGTCCTAGGTTCGGAACTCAGTGAATGCGTTCTGTGAAGAGTCTCGACCCAATACTGTCAGGTTTTCGAGTGGTTCTCTATTCGTTGTCAGCTCATGATGAAATCCTCAAATCCAACACCATGATGCTAGACAACATAATGTAGAATGTTGTGACGACATACTGAATCATTTTAACCGAACTGCTGAGGACATAGACATTCAATATTATCGGCCTCTGGAGCCATCACAGAAAAATATCACAGAGTTATTTTCAAAGTGAAGTAGTATGATCGCCTCTGATTAAGTCATTTTCAGGGTGTAACAGTGTTTTTGTATTTGGGACATATTATGAAATACGAGATATTTTTTTGAAACTGTATTAGTGTGCAAATATATTTTCTGTGTTAAGGAATTATTTCTCATTCGGTTTGACCAGGCATAGGAATCTGGTTGAAGAAACAATCTTCAGTCTTCACATCTAAAATAATTTTTTCGACTTTCATTGCAATGTTGTGCTTGACTGACCTCTATATAAATATGAACTACGAGATGGTGGGTGTTTCAATATATCCAGCGATTAATATTTACAAGTGCAGATCTAGACAGCCGTTTTCAGAGTTTATCTGACCTTGATTTCAATTGAGATAACCGTGTTACCTTTGTTACCAACCTTTCCGCCTGACATTAAATCAGTAGACATTGTGGAAGTTCTGGATATTGAAAATGTTTGGTGAAGATTAGAAGCACTTTTTTAATGAGAGCCACTTATGAGAACCCAATTTCTAACTTGTGTCACTACATGTGCTATTTGTTGTGCCAGCATCCTCATTATCTTCTCATCCACTTTTGTATTAATAGTGGCCTTGATTATTACCAGACGAAATGATACTCTTCCCATTTGAAATAATTTCTGAACTTACAATTTCATAGACATTGGTTAACACGTCCAAAGATCCTTCAATTCAGCTGAATTGAATAGAGCAAGAAGTGCAGTTTTGAGTGATGAGTTACTATTAGACTTTCACCTTTCCGTTTTATTTTGTGTGCCATCCGCTTTCAAAATTTGATTGCTTATGCAGGGCTTGAGAACGTTTCATACTTTTTTGTAGATAAGACTAGGGGTAAGTTTACTGTAGAATAATTTGAAAGTATATTAACAGAGCAGTTTAGGACCTAACCTGCTGATAATCATTTCCGTAGGATCAATATTCGTTTACGTTCTCATCACTGTATATATGTGACAATTAGGCTTGGAAATGAAAACAGTATCGTTCACATTACAGTTTAACTGTCTGAAGAAGTTTCAATATATATTCCGATGAAGGACAGGCAAACCATATTGTGAATCTTGGTGCTTCTTCGAAAATTCAAGCATATAACTCAGTGATGAGAATTCGTTTGATTTGATTGTAATATTGAATGCTCTAACAGAAGTCTTTTATAGGCTAATCGACGAACCTCTATCAATAATTGTTGCGGTATCATAACATATCTGCATTCATGGTGTAAAAATGAATCAAGTTAGGAGGTTTATTTTATTAACTGTGAGCATGTAGTTAATTTGTTCACAATTTCTTTCGATTTATAACTGCCCTGGAATTTGGAAATGTCTGTTATTCTGTTTTAGATGAAGATGAGTAACATTCACTATAAGTGCCCTCATGCCATTAAACAGTAATATTCTTGAGTCGTTGATTTCTGTGAATGCCACCCTTGTGCAGTGAAATGAAAAGTCATATGTACTTTAGGATCATTTGCGCTTTCAAGTGAGGAGAAATAAATAAATACAAGGAGGAACTCATGTTTGCTCACATTCACTGATATCACCATCGACCTGTTCATCAGTTCTCAAAAGCCGTCACTTTTCCCTGTATTCTGGCAGTATCCGTAGCACAAATAATAATCAGTTTCACACTTTTTTGACATTGCTGACTTCTTCTTAAAATCAAAAGTCATGTATCTCTGAAAATAGTTTTCCGTGACGGGAAAAATGTCTTTGTCCAGTTAAATTAATGGAATTGAGACGCAATTAGACAAAATAATATAATTTAGAAAATACCCTGCAATGACTGTGAGGTCAACTACATACGTCATACTAGTAGGTCAGGAGTAATCAGATTGTTGGAACATAAGGTAAGAATGGTTGACCCCGAAAAGATGAGTAATTTAGGAGAAAGCTCAGCAATTGCAACGCATGCATTAACACACAACCACACAATTGGGTGGGTGAGGGTTAAAATTCTAAAAGGTAATCTAGATAGGTGGAGAGAGAGGTTGCTTACAGAATTCTTGTTCATCGAATCTACACCCAACATATGCAATAGGAATGATTCATCACTCGTACCTGAAATATGGAAAATACTACTGCTAATCAAATCAAGCGAAAACCAAGTGAAAAATAATGCAACTATATAAATGAAGTTAGGACCTTGGTACGATTATGAGCGGCAATAAAATTTGCTTGAAACGTCATCAGTAAACATTACTGTATAACACTGTGAGACTTTATCAAAACAAAAATTTACCCATAATGGAATTGAGATTGTTTTCGGCTTTTACAAGTGGTAACTTCATATTGGAGATTCTTTTCCTAAAAAGGGAATTTCTGACTGTAACTGATATTATGACTGTATTACAGTTTGCAAATACATTTATCAAATAAACTGATAAATTTCTACTATGAAAAATCTGTCAAGCGCACCCTATCATTACGCGATGAAGCCCTCCAGGTTTTGGGTAATTAATTCAAAGTCTTTTGTTTCTATATTGAAGGGAAGCTCGTTTTTCCATTCAACGAGTTATGGAAAAAATTCATTTTGCTGTTAGAGGATTTTTAGCATGAGAAACTGCTGCGTCTAGAGTTGTCCCGATGAGTGTTTAACGACGAGTCAACTTCCTGATTTCTTCAATCGGTATGCTGCAACTCTGATATGCTGAGTAATATAATTAAATCTCTCCGAGATGAACTTTCAGTCTTATTGGTGAACGTGTTTAATCACTTCGGCTGATTGCAGTCATTAGACATGTGTTTAGGATAACACATTTGTATCATGACTGAATGTAACATGCTTGATATTATGAAATAATATTCGTATACATAGTGGCTTTGCATGAAAGCAGCAAGTGATCACTGAACGATATATGTTATTCACCAATCAATCTCCGGAAATTTTTTTCTTTGTAACAAAGCTTCGCACACAATTATGTCATTTGATTAGATAACAAGAATCATGACAACATCAAGGTTGCTAAAAGTGTTTTCATAAACAGAGGTCGCATAAACCACAATTTAATGAAAGTTCTGATCTCCCCCATATGCTTATGAGTGACATGTTTTATATTTCACATGAAGATAAAAATGGTAAGTGAATAAGTGAACTGCTCTGTGAGTTTAAGGAAACAGCTGCTGTTAATTTCATTGAGTAAAAGGTCGAAAAAATATTTTATTTTTTCCAATTTGACCACGGACTGATATTCGTGTTTTGGGAATCATCGGCAGTACGCACCTACCAGGGTTCAAAGCCAGGACCTTCCAGTTCCAAGGCAAGCTCGTACACCATTCAGCTACTGTGCTCTGATTCAATGGCACGTGAACTCTAATTTTTTCCAATTCGTGATTTAGAGCGACCACCAGCCCATGTCATCAGCTGGAAATCCATCCTCACATGTTGAGTGTACACTCTTTTCCATTTCTCAAAATGATGCATAAATTGAACAAAACATCATTCGCAACCGAGGATGCCTCAATCAATGTTTTGAGTAATATTTCATTATAGTTTGAGCTTATTTCAAGCTTATAAATTTTTGCTACAGAATTACTCAATAAATCACTTATTCAAGAGTTTCTTTTTAATACAAAATTACACTTTTCTAATTGCCTTCCGGGATGCTTCAAACATCATTTTCAGAGATATTTAAGTATATTTTCTAGGCCTAATCGCACCAGTAATATTTTGTTACATGACTAATGATATCACTGTATCATTCGTGAAATAGCATTCAATAATGTAAATCACTTATATGACATTTTAACATTTATATGTTCATGGATGACCAGGACTCTTGAGTAAGTCAATATATAACAGTCGTCTTCGCTATTCCACCAAATCAATTTTTGGGACGGCTGCTTTGTTCCGCTTTGTGAAACTTCAGCAGCTTGCGCTCATCAAGTTAGGAATAAGCAGAAGCTATTAGTCAAGGACTATTGGGTTGGGTCCTAGCTTCTAAACTGTCATAATTAAAATTGCCTGCATTCGATCCCGTTTGGGTGCACATTGATGAAGAGTACTAGGCCTTGACGAAACAATAAATCGAAAGTTTCCAGTGGTTATATAAATGTTTTCAGCTTGTGGTTTTACCTATTATTATTCTCAACCATTCTTAAATCAACAGTTGATTCCGAAATCAATAAATAAGTAGGTCTGCTTTGTAAATGTGAAAGAGTGGACTGATATCATAACTTAACTTTTCTCTAGAACTAAAATTGTAGTTTTATGCACATCAGTCACCCTATCAAAAAGCAGCTTGCTTTTAAACAAATTTAAATGTTCATGGTCATCTTACTACAATCAAGTGACTATGCTGTGCTAATGAAATTTCACAGAAACCTCCAGAAACTTGATATTTCACACTTCAAATAAGTCCAAGAAATTTAGGCTAGATCGGAATCATGAAAACGAATTTGCCAGAACCAATATTTTAAATCGCTATGGAGGTACATAGAAAATTCAGTTTTCAGAAAAGACAGCGTTACATACTTTTTGTTATATACATAGACTAGTCAAATTCTTCATTATTTCCAATATAAAATTAGAACATGTCCGTGAGTTGAAATCCTCTTATTGTTCTCTTTTCACACTGAAGCTGTATGATGTTTTCTTAGCGTCTACAGAAAATTACTGTTCAAATCAATTAATTATTCATGCATCTTAAGTCAATACTTTTGTCAACATCAATCAGGCGCTTTATTTCGATGTTATTTTGAATTACATCTTTAAAATTGGAAATCGTCTACTCACCTTCAGTAACACAACAAAAATTTCATAAATGACATCGAGTGCTTTCAACAAAATGGTGGTAATATATTTTGAAATATGTTCGAAGAAATGGAGGGTTGAATTCTGACTGACTATTTGTGTTCATATTTCTTTTGGCCCTCTAATAATACTTTGGATCACTTCTACTGCAGTTTTAGTAGTCCTGATACATAAATTATTTTATGGACATCCCATGTCATTTTACTGGCCTTGACTTTCACAAGTGAAGGATGTGTCTTCCTACTGATATAAAAGACCGATTTCATTAGCTGATGTTATCCACCTATGAATTTGAAGTTGTTCTCAGTTCCAGCGTAAAATGCGTTTATTTTTCGTGTGCACTGAATTTCACGTGGAGGTTCGCTTGTTTTCACAGGGTGGGTTTTCTATCTTTAAATACGACCTGGCTCCTTTACCAAGCTTATGATCAGTTACGACACCCAACGAAAATTTTTGTCAGTAATATTGAAATGTGAATTATCATCATCCTCGATGCAGAAGGAGGTGAGTCGTGTTTTTAGTATGATATATAATGAAAATATGCTTCAAATTCTGTGACGGGATAGTAGTTGTCCGTTCGCAACTGCACTGCGTGCTCACATAAATGACACTCATCAATATAATATCCAAATGTTTTGTATAACTTGGTTTATGATAGCCTGTTACTTCCAGGAGGTATTTTCTTAATTGCATTGAAGAGAATCACTGGAAAATGAGAAGGCATTGTAATGTAGTGCAATGATCAAATAGTGAATTCATTCTGTGCATTCATTAGGTCATTTGTAAAAGGCCGCTTAGAGCATTTTGACTATTTTGTCATGAAGTTACATAAATTCCGGTTTAACAACATCACAGTAATTAAATACTAACAGATTCACCCCACTCATATTTCCTCTGACTGCAGATGAAAGAAGCTTCAACAAAATAACATGCCTCCCATTTATCTCTTTACCTCCACCTAGTGCATGCAACCTGTAACATTTATTACAACGAACTATAATGGGATGTAACCCTAATAATTTCATTCGTTTCAATCCACAATCCAACAACCAAGAGGGGAAGATATCACTATCGAATTCGAAATGAAGCTGATATGTCGATGTTGTGTTACAATGTATGCATGTATGTATATATGAATGTATGTTAACACCTTAATTGGTGAACTTTCTCGTCAACAAACAAGTACAGCGGTTGATATCAAGTATATGAAACAATCGTAGTTCGAGTGAGGCGGATTCAAGACTCTGAGACATGGAATAGATACTTGCTTTTCTATTCCAATGTTTTTTTTAACACTTAACAAGAAAGAGTTTTTACTGAACAATGTAACTGTTATTTTTATTTTCTTAAGTACTCAGTGAGTGTTTTATTCAGTTATGTTGAGTAGGTCATTATGAACGATTTCTGCAGTATTTTATTCAATTTAAATAATAAACAAACTTGAAAGTCTTCTCATTGTCGATGAAATCGAAGACGAATATTATACTTATTACATCGGTTTAATGTTATCATGAATGCTATCTATCATTTCACATTTATAATTGCCATATCCATATGAAATTCAATTTTACTCCTAATAAGAGATGTAAATATCAGTCCTTGTTTTCTTAAATATAAGCGGATCACTAATGTAATATCATTGTGAAATGCTGCAGGCTGTCATCATTTATGAACATAATTTGACTAAAATCAAGCTCAATGAATCTTAGTAACAATTAAGTAAAATCTCAAACTTGAGAACAAGACAAAAAGGAGTAGTGCCGTGGCAGCCTCAATGTTCCACTTGGAAGATAATGAATAATTCTTCAGACATAATTCAAACTCAAAAAAAATCAACGGTTTGAAAGTGAGAATACTTGGCAATCGAATTCCTTTTTCTTCCACTGGGTTTTATGTACAAAGCATATCAATCTGTGATAGAGAAGATTTGTAGCTCAGGTGGATAATTTTGATGTGGTTTTTTTCTCTGAGCTGGATAGTTAGTTTACGAAGCTTTCATCACCTTACTGGGTGACATCTTCAGCGCATACTTCAAATTGAAGTGAGCTTTTAGGTTTCTCCACGAGTTTATTAATCATTCCTCCTGGTGACCTTGGACGTGATTGGTTGTTTATGTATGTTTTCACACCTTCTAGGTTACTTGTGTTGGAACTGATTGTTTCTGTGACTTGAACTTTGGCCAATCGTGTGTGAAGTTTCTTTCTTATTGGTTGATAAATTTTGTCTATCTCGATGTGTCTATTGATTGATGATTCACTGGAATGCCAAGCTTCTAAAAA